AACAGAAACTAATATTCACCGGATGGTCATATACCTTTTCACCACTAGATGGGGGTAAAATCACACAGTGTAGCTTTAAGGTAAAAAAAAATTGGTTAATGACAAAATTATCTTTCATGCAAGTCTATAGGGCTGCAAAGAGTAGAAGGAAAAAGTGCTATGGAAAATGTCATGGTTGATGCAAGATATTAGTATTCATGCGCAAACGTGCGCCGTAGTCCAATTATGACCCAATAAACAACCTTCTGCCCTTGTGTTTCATTTCAGTACTGGATAGAAACATAATAAGGCCACAGTAAGCTTTGGTAAGCTCTTGGTATTATCTGTTAATTACACTTTGCCGTTTACACTTTAATTATGCTCTCTGCTCTGTTTTATTGTCATGGTTCATAGATTCTAGGCTTAATGGCATAGTCATTATAATGATTGGGTTTAATGTACCCAAGACTTTCAGTCTGAAAACAGTTAGTTCGAGCTTTGTGTCAGTGTTCAGACCAAGCATGCCTCACAAGCCCTGAAAAGTGAAGGCAAAATGTCTCGATCGCCCCCCGGGGGCCAGTCCTAGTATAGGTCATAAACCCCGCCTCCCCATGTTATTACGTAACAGCATGTGACACCAACTAAGCAAGTAAATTACACTTCAAATATCGTTTTTCCAAATATGGTTTCTGTCATTTACTGTAGTTTTTATCACGCTGATATAATTTCAAGTGTTTGTTTTTAAAATAAGTTAGTTTGTTTTTTTGATACGCTGGTGGTGACGTTATGATTTACGGCTGTGATTGACAGGTTCTCTGAGCGAAGAAGTCGCCACTGAAGCACCAACATACTTTTTTCCGGGATCTTCGGAGGACTGAGGAGATTGGAGCTTCCAATTTAATATCTAGATTTCTATAATTAATCAAATAAAAGTGCAGGAGCGTGTTCTTGCGATTGATTCTACGAGAGTGAGGGCGAGGCCTTGATTTCGTGACTTTACTTACTGCTCACTACTGCGCATATCTAGTCCCGAAATCGCTTCTGCACAGACTCAAGTTCCAAGATGTCAGCGCCATATCGGTATACTGGCGGCTTCACTTCTGACCAATGGAAGAGAGCGAAGGGGCGTCGTCGTCCATCTTTTTTTTACAGTCTGTGGTTCAGACACTCACTCAGATTCCATTGCTATGAGCAAACAATCACAGCAAACAGCTAATCATGGCATGAATATGTATAAAAGGATGCTCATGGTGTTGAATCCATACTTGTTTAGATATGCTGTGGACTGGGGTGACTCATAAGGCACACATTTATTTTCTTGTTTGAGAATTGGTAAGGGAGGCATCTGTGGATGCAACACAGTAAACTAAAAAACAATATAGTTTTCAAATAAGTGTCTTTGACATCTGCTTTTTCTGCAAACTGCATATAGATGTGCTTTTTCTGCATGGATCATCATTATAATTCAGCTATCAAGTGTTAACTTTATCGGCAAACTCAGATTGCAAACACTGAATATTTATTTGGGGACAAGGCTATGACTTGGGGACACTAAGCCATACATTTTAGATCAGTCTTGGATTGGTTCAGTGAATAACAATTTGATTTGCTTTAGGAATATTCAGACCCTCTAGATGTTTGTTGCTGTATCAGCTGAAACATATAGGAATTTGGCTGTTTGTAGACCAGCATTTCTTTATTTATTTTTTAGAATGCAGAACCCTTCGTTTTTTTTTTTTAAACAGCAGGTGCCCAACAGAACTTAAGGATAAAGATAGACTGATACATTCTTTTGATGTGTTTTTTTTTTTTTTTTTTTTCTTGTGAAGTTTCTACATGGACGTCTGACTTAAATAGGCCACCTGCCGGGAAATATCCATTTTGGAGGGCGGGGGTGGGGGTTTGTCCCATTAGCAGATGTCAGGGTGACAGTAAAAGAGTCATTGCCTTAGGCAGTCCTTGAGTCCTACAAGAAACTTGACTTTTTATAGAGAAAAGGAAGTACTCGGAGATGAATGTATGATGGTAGGCAGGAATGGAATGGCCAAAAGGAACACTGCGACTTTTTCAGATGGCCTCTTGTGGGCAGGATATCCAAACCAATTTACATATACAAAGCAAATATGTAATAGTATATAAAGGGAGGAAAAAGCTCACAGACTGGCATACAAGCAATGACGGTATAGTCTCAGCCTCAGACATCAGACCCATGGACCTTTGACTGAATGTCTGATACATATGGCACAGAATATAGGAAGCACTTTTAGAGTTTCTAAGTTGTAATCTGATCTTGCACAACATTCTTGAATGAATTGCACTCCGGCCTGTTATTGTGGGGACATCGACTTACATTTTCACACCCCTAAACACAACACTGAACAAAACGTGTGATTGGTTGCTTTACATGTCGGTCAGTCAGACATCCTCTTTAGCAATCCTTGGCCAATGAAAGCTGCAATTGAATCCAGATCTTCTGCCGTCTGGCTACCCAAGACTTCAATCTCCCAGCACAAATCGGCAGAGTAATTAATTGCAACTTTCAGTAGATGTGATGTGAATCAAGTTCAATGAAATCCTGTTACTTAGAAATTCTCTTTACTAATATGATATAACTATACATTGTCAGACTCACTCTTTTTCTATGTGTGGAAGTTGTCGCCAACAGATAAGCACTCAGCCGTGTGTCCTCATACTGGCTGGACAAGCTGTTAAGATTCTCCTCAGCTCTGAGGTTTGAAGCAGACACAGCAAAATAAGAGATTTTAACAGAACAGTGTTTGAAAAAGTGGCATGATTCACTGTTGGGAGGTGTGAACCTGAGAAATACACCAAGATCTAACTGGTTTCAAAATGCAATCAAATGTGTTCGATTATTTAAATAAGCATGTTTTTCCAGGATCTAAACATTGAATTTTTTATAGTACAATTTTGTTGTTTAAAGTGTTGCTTTTGCAATATTAAAAACAACAATTTGAATAATAATAATAAACAACTAATAAATATAAATAAAGTTACATTTTATTTCAAATATATTATTTTAGTATCATATTTTATTTAAAGGAATATAGTGAAAATAAGTTTGAATTATAAGCATTTGATAGTGGGGAATTATTGCACTGTTTTGGGTCCCAGGCTACCGCTTATGATAGAGAAGGGTAGACGGACTGCAAAGAAATGTAATTACTTAGCTCTATGTGTGTTTGATGCCATCAAAGCATAACAGAGAACTCACCGTAAATGTGTAGAATTGGTGATTTGTGAATACCTTGACAAACATCCCTCTCAGATTCATGCAAAGATCTACTGTGCCATGAGGAAAATCAAGTCAGTCACATCCTGGCAGCCAGCACATTATACTATGATAAGTAGAGTGCGGATGAAAAGACTGTGACAACACGACAAAGTGGTGCTGATAAAACGAGCATTTGCATGCATTCAGGTGGCAATCAGAGTCTTGTTTAGTGCAATTCACAAGTCCACACTTACATACAGTATAATTATAGTGGATAAGATTAAATGCATATTTGGCATGCTGTCCGGGGGGAGGGCTCCGAGCTCGTGGTTTGGCCCGGACCTAGAGTAAGTGTTTAGGCCTGGAAGTGTGGAGAAGGGCTGCTAAAGTATCGATGGAGTGAGCTGAGATTGCTGAATCTATACCTCTTATCATTGATTGGTGAGTGTACTCCACTCATGTTAATTAACTGAACGTGCTCCTCTCAAACTTTGATAATAAGACATAATTTAAGAAATTTCTCTTATGAAAGGCCCTTTTAAACCCTTATAAATTACCTCTGGGACACTTCCAAAGGAACGTTCACATCACAAACAGAAACCTGTGCTGACGCTTCATGGTTCTCAACTTCGCCCGCAGACTTACAGCGACCCTTGCTGTGATTGCCATTACTTGAGCCAGGGAAAAGATGTGCAATTGCCAATTACAGGGCTGGGGGGTTATGTTGCACAGTGGAGGAAACAATCCAGTACACTTGAAGCAGATGTGAGGACCGTATGGTGAATGGTACGAAACACCTGCTGCCCGTTGCTTTCTTGTCAATTTAGCCATAAGACAATTTGAGTAACATGCCCCTGTTTTATTAGCCCCGGCTCCGAGCCGTGCGTCAGCAGGTGACACATCAGGGCAAGGGAGCAGTGAATATGACAGTGTAGAATGGGTGTCAGAAGACTACAGTGTCAGAATAACTCACAATTTGTCGCCAAATGAAAACGCATGGCAATGCAGCCTCACATTGGTTAGACCAGGCTGTTATGATTCAACTCAGCTGTGAGGTTTGAAAGGACAAAGAAAAACAGAATATATCCACACTTCCACAGCAAGCTTTATTAACTAGAAGCTCAGACCAGCCTCTAACTAGGAATGAAACGGTTAATGTTTAACGATAAACCCCGATAAATTTTGATGATTAGAATTATAGCTTATTTAAAACTTATTTGATTACTGTGATTTGAAAAACTGTAAATACTGTCCAGCATTAAGCATAATGTTTGCCATTTTTGATCAGACCAATCCGAAAATCGGACTAATTTTTATGCACTGCTGTAAATTTTACCCGGGTGAAAATAAGTTAATGTGCATTTTTAAAAATCTAAACAAATCAGAAAATAAAGTAACTCATCTCTTGTGTTAAAAAATTTATGTTGTAAGTCACTTAACCAAACCAAACTTGGGTGCGTTTCCCGAAAGCATCGTTTGCCAACTATGGTCGCAAATTGGTCGCAATTTCCATTGATCACTATTGTAACGACGCAACTTGCGACCATGGGTGACGATGCTTTCGGGAAACGCACCCCTGTTTGGTTCATTGGCCATCATGGTTAATGAACATTTTAATGTTCATGTAAAAAAATTAAAAAGTGCATAGTGGAGCTATTTGTTGATTTTATGTTGGCAACTTCACTTGGTGAAATTATTTCAGTGTGGCTACGGTTTCAACTCTAATCTCAACAATTTATTTTTTATTTTTTTGTGGAGATTCATGTGGCTTTCGTTTTTTCTTCCTAAGGAGCTGAAAGAGTCTCTTGTCTGGGTGTGGTTGCGGTAAGAGGATGAGGATTCTGTTGTGTCTGCTGTCTCTCAGCTCTCTGGTTCTGAGCTACGCATTGGGTAAGTATGATCAAGGGCCGGTTGCATAAACTGGTTGACTGGTTTTACAAGTTAACCTTCACATTTTTTTCTTTAAAACTGTTCATAACTTTTAAGTCAGTTGCATAAAAGCAGAGATTGGTCTTATTTAATACTAAAAAGTAAGACTGATTGCCCCTTGACTAACCGCTAGTACTTAAGACAGTCAATGGCTATGTTTATGTCACTGTCTCCCATCATCTCATCTCATTTAAGATCCCATTTGCAAACATACTTAGGTCTTGCTCAGCCCTTCCCCCATTAGCCAAACTCTGTTACCACTCACCCGTTGCTTTTTTTTTCTGTATTCCCTCTGCTCCAGCATTTCCTTGTTAAAACATCATTGAAATGTACGTTGTCACATTGATGGTGTCTGGGATGTGTGGTTTTAGGGTTGTGCATCAGTGGGGGGCCACAAATTCAGATTAATTATTCATTGTGTTATCTTAGATCAGTGGGCAGAAGGGATTTGATTTACTTGAGAGGTGTTTTTGTCAGCTAAAGTAATCCCGGCCCCATTAAACATTGATAAAAATGTGGTTCTGTCCATAATGCTATTAACTTGGCAAACGGCACTCTACTCAAAGTTGCCCTAGTCTCACAGGCGTAAAATGTGGTCCATTTTGCAGAAAATTCATAACCGCCATCTGACCAACATAAGTAACCAATCAATCAATGCTATCATGTCTCTTCAGAAAATTTGGACTAAATTCATGTTGTTTTATGAACTCTTTATGAATTTTATGAAGTGGTAGTTGCGTAGCTGTCTATGGAGAGACAGATATCTCTCAGATTTTGTTAAAAAATATCTTTATTTGTATTCCATTGAACAAAAGTCTTACGGGTTTGGAACGAAATGAGGAACTAACCCCTTAAAATATCTGTTTTCTAATTTAATATATTTTAAATCATCATTTATTCTGATGGCAAAGCTGATTTTCCAGCAGTCATTACTCCAGTCACATGATCCATCAGAAATCATTCTAATGCGCTGATTTGGTGCTCAAGAAACATTATTAATGTCGAAAACATTTGTCCTTAGAATAGACAGAAAAAACAGAATTTATTTGAAATAGAAATTGTCAGTGTAAACAACAAAACTGTGTAGTGGGCATGGAAAGGAAATAATAATTTGAGAATATACACAAACACACTTATTCTCAAATAAATTATGCTGAGAAAAATGTCCAGGTACCAATGTTTAATCGCAGGCATTCAGATTGAATTGGCTAACAAAACAATTACTATGTTTTAGTCTATTACACTGAAGTAACTACACAAAGAAACTGATGATCTGTTGAGAGACTTAAAAAAAACTTAAGTGGCAGTTTGGATCTGTTTATCCCCATTACTGGAAGCAGCCAACACACCACTGAACATTACTGTTATCTCAGAGCAGAAAACCTCCCGGGTAGCTGGTTCCCCTTCTCAACTCATCTCTCCTCCTCTGCCTCTCTCTTATTGCCCTAGATTCCTGTGGGTCTCACCAGAACTGCACACACATTCATTTGTAGACGCACATGCATGCATACATAAACACACATGTGCATGTAGATCTCCAAAGAATTTTAAATGACAAATGTATAAATAAAATTATTTTGTCATGTTTTAAGAATGTTTTACTCTTAAAATTCATAAGATAAGATTTGTTTCTACCTATAAATTCTGTTTACTCAAATCTATCACAAACTGCATTCATAAGAAACACCCATTTATTTTAGAGTAAAAAAGCCAAATTCCAAAACCAAATCCGCATACTGAGACAAATGTGGTCCCAAATAATCCAAACTCATTCTTTACCCAATTCATAATGCATCAGATGCGTTCATCGCAACCTGGAAACTTTACTGTATGTCTTCAAACTCCCCTGTTCCCCTCGTTCTGTCAAAATATCTGAGTGCATGCAATTATAACTGACAGTTTGAATCCCCTGCTGACTTTCCCCGGGTGGAGAACATTCCCACTCTGAGTGCAAATTCACTGGAGTTGTTAGGCATGCACAGCCCTCCTGTATCTCTTTGGCACAGTACACTAGCTGACAAAGAAAGCAGAACAAAAGACCTGAGCATGACTAAACCACTTGATATACATTACTCTCAAGGATATTTTACTATACCCCTGACTTTTAGTGCTTTTGAGTGCTTTTTAATAGTTAATCATCCGGGGATAGAACCAGAAGTTTGTTGGTTCAAACATCATTATGTTAAAAGACCATTGACACCTACAATCTTGACTCAAATTTGATATATAAAGAACCAGTTTTGTTTGTGACCATGTTTGTTAAAATGTTCCTCTCAGACAGTGTTTGTTTTTGCAGGTGGGGATGTGTGTGTGTCTGGTCACGACAGTGGGCCGGTGTTTGAGGAGCAGCCATATAGTCTGATTTACCCTGAGGGGATGCCAGAAGGCAAGGTGACCCTGAGCTGCCAGGCTCGCGCCAGCCCTGCTGCTATTTACCGGTACTCAGATCAGATTTTTGTCACTTACACCTTATTGAACCAAACATGGCCTTTACTTCATTTGTATGACCTATCCTTTTACACGGACATTGTAGAGAAAAAAAATTCTAAACATCCTTTAAAGCTACACTGTGTGATTTTTACCCCCATCTAGCGGTGAAAAGGTATATGACCATCCAGTGAATATTAGTTTCTGTTAACAAGATTAACATGGCTTCCAGTTCGACCTCATCCATGAGTGTTAACTCAAATGTAAACGCGAAAGGCGAAGCTTGAATTAACGGGTATGTCCCTCTTTGGTTAATGTACTTTCAAGATGGAGGGGCAACATGGCGACCGACATTAGAACCCCTTACCCGTATGTATTTTCAATGGCATATTATACACTCACGAGAATACTTTATTACTTGAATGAAGTAAATATACATTAATGAGCACATATATTTTTGAAAGAACTAAATGTTTTTAGCTAAGAATAAACTAAATGAGTTACACAGTGTAGCTTTAAACAAGATTCTTTAATGAGTTTTAAAGAACGTTTATTTGAAATATAAATCATGTGCAATATTGTAAATGCCTTTACTGTTATGTTTGATCAATTTAATGCAACTTTGCTGAATAAAAGTATCAATTTCTTAAAAAAAAATCTTTAGTAATGCAATTCTTCAACTCTAAAGTTTCCTTGCACATTGGAATTTTTTAATGAAAAATAAACCTGATTGTGATATATTCTCTGAAAACATGTTTCAATATACAAGTATTTAAAAACCTCCTTATTTTTAGGAGGTTAAAATTTTTCTTGAGAAGAACAAGGCAAAATTGTGATTAAGAAAAAAAAACATTATTATGTACTGCCAAAATTAAATAAATAATTCATTATCCACTTTTTGACAGTCTTCTTGTATGTGATTTCTCACAGGTGGCGTGTGAACGGCACTGAAATAGTATTTGTTGACGATTCGCACTACACACAGGTTGCAGGAAACCTTGTGATCAATAATCCCCAGCATGGGCGAGATGGTGGGTCATACCAGTGTCTTGCCATCAACCGCTGTGGCACCATTGTTAGCCGTATGGCTAACCTCAAATTTGGCTGTGAGTACAACTCAAACAATTATCGTTGTCCAAATGTGAAAATTAGACCTTTCTGAATAAAAGCAGCACTAGATGAAATTGCACACTACTGCTGCTGATAAATGTGCGTTTTTTTAGATCTCCATGATTTCCCTCCTGAGAGCAGAAGCCCTCAGACGGTCCATGAGGGTATGGGAACCTTTCTTGCCTGCCAGCCACCAGCTCATTACCCAGGTATGCACATACACTATCAGTTAGCAGAACCTTTCATTTTCTACTATTTATCCAGGTCAGTATATTTATGACATCTTGCATCTATTTGCTACCACAAAGCTTTGTCCTACCGCTGGTTCATCAATGAGTTCCCCAACTTCATCCAGCCAGAGGCGGGCAGATGGTTTGTTTCTCAGGTGACGGGTAACTTATACCTTGCTAACGCTAGAGCCAATGACACGGGCAACTATTTCTGCTTCACCACCATCAATATGGACATCAGCACCAAGAGCATCTTCAGCAAAGCTGTCCAGCTCACTGTTTACCCTGATGGTTAGTTCAAACTAAAATCGGTATTTCCCTCTGAAACAATAAACAAGCTCAACTACCTGCTGTTATCAAATCGAAACAAGCAAAAAAATTCGTATCTTGTTTTTTTTTCTCTTGATTCTACAGCAAACCCAAGGAAAGCCGCCCCGAATATCCGAGTGCGTTTTCCTGCTGAGACATATGCATTATCAGGACAAACTGCACAGCTTGAATGCTTTGCCTATGGCAAGTAAGTCCCCTTTAGCTTCCCACTTCCCTTCGGAGATCACTTCTGCATCGGTTCAACATAATCCATAACTCAGTCAGCTATAAAAATGTGACTTTTTTTCTCTAAAATCATCTTGTTTGCTCTTTACTTCCCTCCCTTAGTCCCATTCCTAAAATCCGCTGGAGGAAGGTGGATGGGATTTTGCCCCCTAAGGTCGGAGCAAGTGCCGAAAGACCCATTTTAATTATTCCTGATCTGAATTTTGATGACGAGGGCATGTATGAGTGTGAGGTTTACAACTCAGAGGGTCGTGAGACACATCAGGGACGCGTTACTGTACAAGGTACTTGACTTATATAAATATCCTTTCCTCTCGTTAACTTTAGTAGATGTTTGATGTGACATAAAACATTGTGTATAGCAGTGTTGTTATTGTTAATTAAAACAATTTAAACCTATTTTCATTGAAATAAAATAAAATATAATTATTAGATAAAATACTTAAAGTGCCGCGATTATGCAATTTTAAATGTTCTTAATTTTCTTTATTTAATTTGAATATTTAACACAGTAGCATGACAGTTTCTCGTGCAGGAACAGTTTAACTTGGATATTCCATAATTTTTCACTTTTTTGGGCCTCTTTCTCAACTTTTTTGGAGTGTGTTGCAACCATCAAAATGTGTTTATAGTTACAAAATACAAAAGGTGGTCAGTGGAAACTCAGTGAATCATGATTTTATTGAATTTTACTAAATGTTTTCTAAAATATGGGGTTGTACTAACATGAAATTAAGTAAAAGCTAACCCAAAAATACTAGGAAATAATATAATAGTATATAAATAATACAAAGAAAATAAGTATTTGGTGTATAAGAAATTAAATGAAAACTTTCATCTAATAAGTGGATTGATGTGTGTTAATCTTCTGGTTTGTGTGTGTTCTCGCTTTCCAGCCCAGCCTGAGTGGCTTCAGGTCATGAGTGACTCTGAGGTGGAAATCAGTTCAGAACTGCAATGGAGCTGTGCCGCTGCGGGCAAACCAAGACCCACCATTCGCTGGTTCCGAAACGGACAGCCCCTCATCACACAGGTGAGCCACGCACTTTAGCCGGATCGTCATCTAACAGTGTGTGTTATCAGAATTTAAAAGGACCTCTTGCTGTCAAGACTGATATATGTTAACTCATTTTTTAGAAAAATCTTAATGTTTTGAAGGCAGTGAGATGTGACGGTGAATAACCTGCTCATTATCTTTCTTTAGCCGTAGGTTGTGTGGCCCTCTGCTGGCGTTAATATGCATGTGCATCATGTCTGTTACACAATCGTACTTGTACCTGTGTGCAGGACCGCGTGGAAGTAAATAATGGACGACTGAGGATCGCTAACCTCGCTCTGGAGGATTCTGGGATGTATCAGTGTGTGGGCGAAAACAAACATGGCACCATTTACTCAAACGCTGAGCTCAGAGTTCAAGGTGAGCACAACTGAATCGCAACATGAAAACATATCAGAATATCAATTCATAAACATTAACATGTTTCTCTTGTTATCTACCTTAATGCACTTCAGATCCCCTTCTGCCCACCCAGTCATGCCTGAACCCCAGTTATAATATGATCTGTATTTAAATCCTCTTTGTGTGGTTACCCATCACCCTTCCTGCCCCATCCATTCACCCTATTTCAGTCCAGGCTCCGGACTTCAGGTTAAATCCAGTGCGTAAGCTGGTTCCTGCTGCCCGCGGTGGACAGGTTAAATTGGAGTGTAAACCTCGGGCGGCTCCCAAACCCACTCTCTTTTGGAGCCGTGGCACAGAGTTACTGACCAATAGTACTAGGTAATCCAGTAATAGTTAAGTGTTTCAAAGACCTCCTAAATGTTTCGAACTCCATATATTTTGTTTTTGACACAGAAAAAATTGCTTTGTGAGTTTGTTTGAAGATGATTTGAGTACAGTGATGTCAGAAAGACCATTTAATAAACTCTGTCCAGGATAACAGTCACTCCAGATGGGCTTCTGTGGATATTCAACATCAGTCGTGCCGATGAGGGGAAGTACACCTGCTTTGCAGAAAACTACCTTGGCAAGGCCAACAGTACAGGACACCTGTCTGTCAGAGGTAACACAACTTTATTTCTGTACCTATTCTAAAGGTTTTGTTCAGATAACTCTGAAATGTGTACTATCACATAAAACCCATATACAGTGTTTTGTTATTTCGGAAAGGTCATTAACGGTTTAGAAAAATATGGATTGTTCTTGACACACCTAGACTTTTTAGCCTAGCTCCAAGTAAACACTTTTATCATCTGTCTGTCTGCATATTCACTGTACACTTATCTTCTGTTATGTCTCATTTTCGGCTTATTGATCTGCGTGTAAACCTCTAAAATGCGATTTTTAGTTGTCATCAGCATTTTATTGTGGACTCAAATGCTTTCAGTGTATAAATATGTTTTTCATCTTGTCATACAGATGCCACAAAAATCACTCTAGCTCCCTCTAATGCTGACATCAATCAGGGCGAGAATGTCTCTCTGCAATGCCATGCGTCACATGACCCTACTATGGACCTCACCTTCACCTGGTCCCTTAATGGAGTTCTGTTGGACCTTGAGGATTCAAATGGACACTATCGGCGCATGGAGGGGGTGAGCACTTGGCTTGAACGGGTGTTTAAAAACTGTATTTTGTTATAAAACGTTATAGATGTTTTTTTCTGTCTGTCACTTTTCGTGTGCCATAGAAATAGCTTAGCAACATGCTAAAAATAACTTACACGCTAGTATGCAAGCAAATACCACTTCTTCATAAAATGTAAAAAATCTAGTTATGTTCTTAATATTTAAAATGAGAAAGAATAGTAAAACCATCTGAATTTGTATTCCAATAGCAGCGAGCTCCTCTCACACTCTGAGATTAGTTTTAATAGGATTCACTTCAAAGTAAATCCCTTTTAGACATTTTAAAATCCATATCTGAAGCCTCGACGAATTGGGCATTTAATAAAAAATATAATAAATGGTTTTATGAATTGAAAGTGGGCTAACACTCCTTTTTTAATAAAGTTTACTTTTCTTTTCATTGTCTCTATGCAGAAAGAGACGATCGGTGACCTGGTGATTGTGAACGGACAGCTCAGTCATGCTGGCACATACACCTGCACGGCCCAGACGGTGGTGGACAGCGCGGTGTCCTCAGCAAAGCTAGTCGTAAGGGGTGAGGGATTCCAGCTGGCTGAGCAGTGACATTAAAACTCATTTTTGTGTTTTACTCAGCTTCATCGGTTTTGGACAGACAACTCTCTGCAATTGATGAAACGTAGAGTCATGAAATATACATTTAGCAGATCTATATCCTGGCAGTTTGGTTTCCAAAAGCCCGTTTGATGCTTTTTTAAAGCAACCCCAACTACACTGCTTTGAAAATGTTTTTGCTGTGTGTGTATGAATATGAATGTATGACAAAACTGTTGTAGATTCTCTGGCAAAGCTGAATGTTTCTCTCTTTATAGGCCCACCAGGACCTCCTGGAGGTTTAGTGGTGACTAGTGTCAACGACACGTCGGTTGAGTTGAGATGGAGCCGTGGATATGACAACCACAGTCCCATTGGCAAGTATATCATCCTGGGCCGCTCCTCACAGACTCACGACTGGAAGAGGATGAGGACAGGTGAGGTTACGAGTCCTTTAGGTATCGTGCAAACACAACAGCTGCACAGTGTTATAATAATGTACAATTTTGCATAATTATTTTTACAAGGATGCTTTTAATCAAACATATGTTGTGAATTATGAATATATTTGTTTATTAACGCAGGATTTCTCAAACTTTTTTGATTTTTTTTGTTTCAATTGTTTATAACCCCTAACTGTTCACAGTCACTTGCAAATGATATAATCAAATCGGTCTTCCCACTCTGTCAATCAACTTTGCAATCTTGCATTCTCAGCATGAACTTTTTAGATATTGGAATATTTTAGAATATTAATAATCTATTATAATTTTTTTTTTAAATGTATTATTCATGTGACCCTGGACCACAAAACCAGTCACATGGGTATTTTTTTCAATTTCATATCTATAGATAGATATGAAATTGAGATTGCTGAATAAATAAGCTTTCCATTATTGAATGGTGTTTTAGGATAGAACAATTTGAAAATCCGGAATCTGAGGGGGCAAAAAAAATCGAAACATTGAGAAAATCGCCTTTAAAGTTGTCCATTTATGTTCGCAATTGTGCTGCATTCACTCACAAAAATATATATATATTTTTAATATATTTATGGTATATTTATAATTTATTTCATATATATTTATGAAAACGTACAAAATATCTTCATGGAACTTGATTTTTGGCAAAAAAGACAAATCGATAATTTTGACCCATACAATGTATTGTTGGCTATTGCCACAAATAGACCCACGCGACTTGTGACTGGTTTTGTGATCCACGGTCACATTTTTCAAATATTTCATTAAACTATTAGAATAAAATAATAAAATATTACAACATATCATAAAAAATGTCGATTTTTTTTTTTTTTTTTGCAGGGCTAATTTCACCATTTAATTAGATTTCGATTCACAAGTTATTCGCTTCAATTCTGATTTTAATTCAATATTGATTAATTGGGTTATGCATGGGTACAGTACATGGCAAATGTTCTCATGAACAAAAAAGCAAGAAATATTTGAACTCTCAAGTTGATACATTACCATGATATTAAAGCTACTTATATTTAAATTACACATAAGCAAGTTTTTGTAATGCTTTATTTTACAGTAAAACAGTAATAACAGTAAATTGTGCAAAATTAAATGCAGCTATCTCTAAACCAAATGTAGTTAATTAATATTTCTCAGTACTTAAATGTATGATTACACTGTAACAATTAAACCTTTAAATAAACTGTAACCCAAGTTCATATAATAATAACATTTATTTTCAACTTAATAACAACACGCGGGGCTGTTTGACAGAAGCCACCCAGAATGCCAGTTTGTGAAATGTATTTGTACTATAACATTACGCAATCCTGATGATGTTTGCCTGTCATTGTGTGCTAATGGTTCCTCCAGACCCTGCAAACATAGAAGGAAATGCTGAATCTGCACTTGTGATAGATCTGCGACCCTGGATGGATTATGAGTTCCAGGTCATTGCTAGCAACATCCTGGGAAGTGGAGAACCAAGCATGCCCTCCCAGCCTGTCCGAACCAAGCAAGCAGGTCAGAACCATTACAAATGTGTTGGTGTTACACAAAACTTTTACTGAATTAGAACCAAAATTGCATAAAATATTAGTGAGGTTTCACATATAAATATGGTTGGTAGATAGTAGGGTATTTTTTCCTCTGTATAAGGGGGTTATTATCTTGTCTTGCAGCACCAACTGTGGCTCCCAGCGGCCTTGGTGGAGGTGGAGGAAACCGTAATGAACTTATCATTACATGGACTGTAAGTGCCACGAACCTCTGTTGCTCTAATTGCGTATAATATTTGATTTATACCTTCAATCAATGTGTCTTTATTACTCAACCCTCACCTTCTATTACATAAAACGATTTCGTCTGGTATGAATTACAGCCCATGGTCAGGGAGTATCAGAATGGAGATGGCTTTGGGTATATTTTGGCGTTCAGAAAGCAAGGCATGCCAACATGGACGGTGGTGAGGGTTCCACACGTGGAATCATCACGATACGTTTACAGCAATGAGAGTCTGTCAGCCTACTGCCCATTTGAAGTCAGAATCAAGGCCTACAACAAGAAAGGAGAAGGTCCCTTCAGCCAGATTGCTGTAGTACACACAGCAGAAGAGGGTGAGAGAAATACTACAAAGGATTATCTTTTGTGCAATATTCATTATATTCTGATTGCTTAGACATTGCTTAATCACTAGAGGGCAGACAATGGAGACAGTGGAGAAACGTCTCATAGAAAAGTCACCAAAAGGTCATACAGTGATGCAATTTTCCTCTGTCACCTGAGATAAGATAATTTATTGCACTATGTGAGTTTATTGTGCTATGAATGCATATTTCAGATCTCAGAAATTGAAACAGTGTTGCAATAATTTCTTGCCCCCAGAAGTTCTGCAATGTCATACAGATGACACACAATCTCTCACATTTACACGTTTTTTTTTTTTTTTTTTTCCAAAATACACCAAACTGCTCTGCATATCCTTTCGATATTTTATGATTTTATGAATGCTGGCTTTGAAAAGAGGCTGTTAATGCATTAAAAGACAATGTAAATTATATTGTAACCAACATCAAAACATGCAAGTTGTGTGTTAGTGCTGCAATATTCACGTGAGGAGGGAGTTTACAAAGAGAGAGGGTGAAATATGACCTACAAATAAATTAAGACTAAAAAATGTTACCAGTCTAAAAAAATTAAATGATGAACAAATGTATGATATTATCACTTTAATGCCTCATAACTGATTGTCATCTTAATGTTTTCTGATCTCCCTTAGAACCTACTGTGTCCCCACGAAGGATTAATGCCACTGCTCTGACAGCTTTTGAGATTCAAGTGTCCTGGGACCCCATTCAACATCTGAACATTAATGGAGTACTTCGGGGTTATGAGGTCAGTACAGACCCAATATTTTATTATCTGTAACATCTCTTTTTGAGGATAGATAAACATATATAGCATAACAGAGTTGATGGATGTTTTGGTGACCATTGTGTGTCATTGTTGGCCATCTGAGGTGGCACGTCAGGATATGTGAGCTTTGCCCCTTGAGCGAGCAACTATTCGAGGTGCTGCTATCTCAGTAGTTCCTTTTTATGAACCACACGTCTCGATCAGATCAAAGAACATTATTTAGATAAGACACCTCCTGTTAGATAAAACCATGCTTTGAAATTCACTGGTATCAAAGGGTATTTTTGCAGCTTATATTTAATTGAATCTTCTAATACAGAACATTGATTTTCATAATTTTGCTTCTTTCAGGAGCAAAATATAAACCCATTATTTGTTATTTTTGAGTACAGAGTTTGCATTCTGGTTGTTTTCAGTATGAATAAGCTTGTCACACGATTAAGATTGCCAACTTGCTCTGGTTACAGATTCGTTACTGGAGACAACATGAACGTGAGGCAGCTGCAGACCGGGTCAGAACTGCAGGGCTGGAGAACATGGCACGAGTCACGGGTTTGAGGCCAAACACTCTTTATCACGTCACCGTATTGGCCTACAACAGTGCAGGCACGGGCCCACCCTCCCCAAGAACCACCGTCATCACCAAGAAGCCTCGTAAGACCTCATTTTCAGCCTAGCTAAAATGTGATTTGCACGAGTAGAACATATTTCTGGAGACTTCTGGACAATATTCACCCAAACTCTACCTAGCCGGTATATGACCAAACTTCAGCTTCGAAATGTGATTGAAAGACTCTCGGTTGGTGTTTTAACATTGATAATATATTGAAACAACATAAAAATAATGTTTAATACTAAATGTTGTGAATAGGTTAACAAAATACTTCAATAGGCAATGCTGAAATTAAAGATCTGTACAAAAAATAAGACATTGAAACAATGTTGTGATATCAACATTGATACGATTTGCTCAATTTTAAATTAAACAGTAATTCAACCTTGACCCATGACTTTAAATCGCTCATGAATAAAATGCCTACTGGGTACCCTTTGAATCAGAGGGCAGTGGTTGATAAGAATGTTGTTCCAGAAATAACACATGTTGATTCATGTCCAACTTGCAGAAGCTAGTAGCTTAATCGTGGAAAAGTTGAGAGAGTTCTTGTTGCATCACATCACGTTGTCATGATATTTTGCGTTTTTTATATTTTTGAAACTTTTCATTCTGTAAGTTGCCATCTTTGCAGTTGACTCACAACTATGGAAGTATTTCAAAAACTATTTCAAATATAATTGTGACTTTTTATCTCACAATTGTGAGTTTACATCTCTCAATTTTGAGAAATAAACTCGAAATTTTGTTGCTCCATGTTTACAGAGTTCCATTTTTATATCTCGCATTTCTGACTTTAAAGCAAGCAATTGTGAGATATAAAGTCAGAATTACGTTTTATAAAGTCGCAATAGCATTGTAACAAAGTCAGAGTTGTGAGATATAAAGTCAGAATTGCAAGAAATAAACTCGCAGTTTTGACTTTATAACACTAAATTGCGTGTTCAAATCCATGTTTATTTCAGAATTGTGAGATAAAAAGTCGGACTTACCCTTTTTATTTTTTAACAAGCCACCAAACAAAACTGCCTTAATTTTTATCTTGGAGAAAAACTGATAACTGTTACATCATTAACTGTTCAAATGCCACCACCAGTCCTTCATGTAATTCACAACTTTACATTTGCAATTCTCGCCAATGTCTTTGTCACTGAGAATGGTGTGAAAGCCAGTGGACTTACTTTTGCATGTATCTTCATTTCTAGCCCCCAACCGCCCTCCAGGTAAAGTCGCATGGAGGGTTACTGGTTCTTTGGTTACTGTGAGGTGGGATCATGTTAAATCCATGGACAATGAGTCTGCTGTTCTGGGTTACAAAGTGAGTGACACACAGTGTAACTGGACACTACAGATATTTGTTTGTTGCGTACATGTTTGTATCGGGTCATCTGTCTGCGTCTGTGTGTCTTCAGAATGTTTTATCAGATTCATTCATTTCAATCAAAGGTGGGATATTGTATAATTTCATACCTCTGAGGTAAGAATTTAATAAATGGTGGCCGAATGTCACGTGAGAATTTTACGTCTTTTCTTATGGAAAACCAGACCACCGTGTGCCCTTTAACAGTGAATGAACATTTAAACCACTGTATATCTCATATCTGATCTGCTATAGGATTGAGGTCATCTTTTCATCTTATCTTCTTTCAAGATAACATACATAGATTCCCAGAAACTGATCAAATACTGTATATACCTTAAAAGTCACTTTGGATACAAGTGTCTGCTACAAGTACATACATTTGGGAAATTTTTACTTAAAATGAACCAAAACATGCAAGACATTTGTATATTCACTGTTTGGGAAACTCTACATTAGGACATACTTCATTAATGTAACTTCTGTCAGAAAATCAACTTTTCTCTTCATTTGCAGATGAATTTCTTGTTATGACTTGATTTCTGAGTTATTTTTTTTTTTTACAAATAAACTCATTGTCTCATGTTAAACTATAAAAGACAGTAATGAGATCCAATTCAACATGTAAAACAAAAAAAGGGAAATGTTTACAATACATTTCAGAGTTTTTTCAGTTCCTGTCTAGAAATTCTGTGAGCACAATTGTGACATATATAAAAATCTTTATATATAATAAAAGTCTATCCAACTTTATCCGCATTCATACACTACACTTGAGTAAGGCGATATATAGTATTTAGCAAATCTAAACTCCTTGATTGCTTGTATCACCGCAAAATTTAAACTATATTTTTGCCAAGATCAAGGTATGAGGATAGTAAGATATTATAAACAATAACATCATGATTTTCTTTAAAACAATGTTTATAGTGTAAAGTGTAAATATGTAAAACGCTATACAAAAAAAATTTGACTTGACTTGAGATACTACACGGCTATCTTAAGATTTCATTCTCAAAAAAAGTGTTTTTTGAGTACAGATTGATACTATATTATTTGTGTAGGTCCTTTACAAGCATGAAGGGCAGTCTATCTTGAAGATACTGGAGAAAAGCAAGACCTCCATCACTTTGCCGTTACCAAAGGACAACGGTTATGTGGTTTTGGAGATCCGCTCTTGGGGAGATGGTGGAGATGGAGCAGCCTATGAGACCATAGTGTCTCGAGACTCAGGTATGTGGTACGAAGAGTAGTTAGGAGTACTGGTTTTAGGAAAGGAACTCAAGAACTAGTGTTTAACTACTAAATATGTTTCTGAAAGTCAGTGTGTTTGATCCACAGGCACTGGAATGATGGTCCAGGACAGCGCTGGCACTTCAGGACCCCTCTGCGCAACTGTTCTTGTGGTCACTGCACTCGTTCTCATTGGCTCGTCAGGACTGTGATGTTAGCCAATGATAAGTTATTTGTATGGAGCAGGTTTTCCTCACGTCGGAATGGTTGCGTGTGGTGCAAAGTTTGGGAAATGTGAGAGGCGGAAGATTCTTTTGTATGAAAAGGCTTTTTTACAAGGATGACTGGTCGTTGTGGAATACAAAGAGGGAGACTTTTTGATTGTGTTATCATTTTAGACGCTTGCCTTATTGAAACTCAAACTTGACTGGTGGTCATGTCAACATTTGGTTGTAGTTTCTTAAATTCAACAACAGCTCTGACTTGTTGATTTCCTTGTAGATGTAAATACACATAGATGTATTGGTGACATTCCATACTGGATAGAACAAAACCTTTTTTAATACGTTGTTGCGACTTCACGGCAGCATGTGGACTGCAAAATGATCCAAATGAGCGTTTACCTTTTTTATTTGTTGTTTTAGTTTTTTTGTGACTATGTAATTGGAAGCAAGAGCGGATCATTATTTTTATTAAGTCTTTTGTATCTGTGTTGGATGATTGTAGCATTCTGCCTTTCCCTCAGTGTTCTAGTTTTTAAAGATGAAAGGTTTCATGAATGCAGCGGTACAACAGAAGCTGTTTTTTCTGTGGTTGTTAAAGTGGGCTTGTCTTGCCAAAGTTATTGCTCTGTTATCTCACTCATTATGATTATTATTGCCTTTATCCTTTGTGTTTTTCACAAGGCTTACACAAACATGACGTCCATGGGCTGTTACTTTCTTTCTTGATACGGTACAAGAGCGAGACGCTGGACATTGATCAATACTGAAGATAACAAAATCAATACAGTGACAAATAAGTTAATTATCCTATAATATCATAATTTATACGTTTTCGTCGCGCCACTAATGGTGGAATCCTGATCATACTTTCAGTGACAAGGTTCCATTTAGCTTAAAGAATTAGAAAACATGTGGCGAACATTTGATTATGTGGGTCTCGGGTCTTTTTAAAGTGCGATACACATGAAGCCATATCATAGATTTTTTTAATGTTAATAGTATTTTTTTTTTAATTAAGACTAATCTAAAAACAGTATTAAAATCGTTCCGTGTAATTCTACAATTCTTGAAGTCGTTGCATCTACTTTCAGTCTGACAGAGAAATCAAGAAAGATGTCTGATTTTATGTTTTAATTTTCTATACATTACTTTACTTTCTCTCCCCTGCCTTGCTTTTTATTGGTGCCCGTTCAACGGTGATATTTCTTGTAATTATATATTTTCTATTTAATGTATTTATTTAATTTTCTATTTAACACGCATCAAGTTGTTATTGTAAATACTGCCATTTTCTGCGTCCGAGGATTGCTTGATAGTTTGAGCACCTTCGTTAGTTTTTTACTGCTTCTCTAACACCTTCTTTATGGGATTTTAACTGTATATTAATTCATGGATCACTCACTGGAATTTAAAACACTTTTAGCCAAAAGCTGTGACACATAGCAGCCTCATCAGTAGCTCTTTAGCGGTTCTAGTCCCAAACCCTTGTAGTAGCAGTCGGGTAAATGTTACACTTTCTGAATGTAGAAGCACTCAAATGTCATATTAGGACTATGAAACCAAAACTAATGTTCTCTTGTCCTTGCATCTGTTTTGTACTTCCCTTTCAAGTGATTTTAAATTGCACTATGAGTGCACTGTACAATTCAACGACTCTTTTAACTCATAATTTCTGAAATAATTACTGTGTTTCACATTGTGTAGTTTGCCCTCTTGTGTTGAATCGGGGCTTTGTCGCTCACAACTCAACAAACAATTTCCGAAATGGCTGTATGTGTACTTACATGAGTCGAATGACACACTGACACGTAGTTTCACTCTGAAGGTCACTCAGGTTGTGATGTCATGTTGTCTCTTCAAACTACCATGTACCCCATTTGTTGTAAGGTTGAGCCTGTCCACTGTGGACTGAATGTGAATAATGCAGCACTTGTAAATATTCTTCAATAAAAAAACAAACATTTTGACTGTATTTGAAGAAACTATGTTTGGTTTTTAGTGATTGACATGTGTACACGGTTGACTAAGAGTGTCAAATTAATCATACACAAAGCCTACATGAGCATGCTTTCTAATATTAGTGTTCTGCCTAGTCAATCTGAATATCAGAAGAAAAAAACTGGTCACATGTGACTGGCATTTTATAATACTAATTCTGTCTTTTAGCCAAGAACAACCTCAAAGATAATAGCACCTTACCGTAATGTGCTAGTTATATTACTCGCTATTAATTTTACTGCCCAATTCTTGTGAAGTTAGCACTTATCACCTGTACTTTGGAACTATTAATAATGTATAAGTATACATGATCATGAACAGGTATTCACCAAACTGCTTATTCTCAGTGCAGCTGACAGGTAAAGAGACCAGTTTTCATATGTCTCATACACCACTTTTCATGACTATGGCAAAACTTGGCATGCTGCTGAAATTGCTAATTCAATTTCGTTTATTATTTTACAGCTCTGTTTCTGAAGAATACTGGTTTGGATCAGGTCCAAAATGACCAAATTAACTCTTTTAGCAGGTATGTTCCATATTGAAGATATGTTTTCACTGAAAGTATGTTAGTTTATTTTTTTATGTGTAATCATGTTGTCTTTTGCATAGGACTGGGCATCTTGCTTACAGTGCAGATTGGTAAGAACCTTCAATCATATATAACCAATAAAATGATTGCATAAAGATCCATTATAAATATTCCTGCATGATGAGTGCAGACAAAATATGACATATGAATATTATAATTTCTGATAGCGGCCTCTACAAAGCTGGTGTGCTACATGACCAACTGGTCCCAGTACAGACCCGGCAATGGGAAGTTCTTGCCAGACAACATTGACCCGTTCCTCTGCACTCATGTGGTCTATGCTCTGGCAAGCATTAACAACAAAAATGAAATCACGACCGTCGAATGGAATGATTACGAGCTGTACAAGTCACTGAATCAACTGAAACAAGTGTAAGCAATTTACACAATGCATGAAAAACCATAATTGCACAAATGAATTCATACCCTTTTGTGATTTATTTTTTAAACTGCCATTGAACAGTTGAACTGATCGATTTCATGTTGTTTGAATTTTTTTGAATAGAAATCCTGCATTGAAGACCGTGCTGTCTGTTGGAGGATTGGTCAATGGCGTCAGTCCGTAAGTATGATATAACATGACATTATAATATCGCTGCCAACCCAAAACATTAAACGAGAGTTGATTAAACATGTCTCTTTTTGCACTTTAGATTCATTGGAGTGGTATCCACACCAGAGACCCGGAATACTTTCATCCGTTCTGCATTGTTGTTCCTGCGTCTTTATGAATTCGACGGTATGGACATTGACTGGCAGTACCCTGGTCAAAATGGCAGCCCACCAGACGACAAGCAGAGGTTTACTACATTCCTCAAGGTCAGAAGACTAGAATGTCAATATGATGCACTTTCATTTCCATTGATAAAGCAAATGACTTTCGGTCTGACCGATTTTCCTGTTGTTTGAAAATTCTCAGGAACTGAGAGAAGCTATTGAACTGGAGGCCATAGACACGAAGAAAACTCCTCTGGTGCTCTCATGCAAAGTGTCCGGCATCAAGTCTACTATTGAGAGAGCTTATGAGGTTGCTGAAATTTCAGGGTATGTTTGGTAGTTTCATCAAGCTACAATAATGTGTATCCATGAAAGCTTTTTTTTTTTTTTTTGACTTTCTCCTTCTTTCTATCATTATAGTTTGTTGGACTTTTTGACCATCATGTCTTATGACTACCATGGCCACTGGGACCCCGTAACAGGGCACAACAGTCCCCTTTACCGCAGCTCAATTGACAGTGGAAACGTCTTTGACCACAATATCGTAAGCTCAAAACCCATAAATTCAAAATCCCATCAATCCGTAATATGTAATCTGAGATCTCTTAGCACATCCCTTTCTCTCTTACTTAGGACTCCTCTGTGGCTTCCTGGCTCAACGGTGGAGCCCCCGCCGACAGGCTGCTTCTTGGCTTCCCCACATTCGGACGCACATTCACGCTCTCTACATCACAAACGGGTCTCGGAGCCCTAGCCAGTGGCCCCGCTGATGCCGGACCCTACACGCGTGAAGAAGGCTTCTGGTCCTATTATGAGGTATCAACACGCTACTTTTAACTTTGATCTAAAACAAGTGTTCTCTGGGTTTACTTCAGAAAATATCAAGTGCCACTTCAATCATGACTAATTTGTGAACTAAATATGAAATATGAAGATATTTATTTTTAAGTGAATTACTACTATCAAAGTCAAATGTTTAAATTAGCGACTCTTTCTCCAGGTTGCATTGACATGCCAGTAGTTGGCGACAAGCGAACAATTCTAAATAGTTTTTGAAGATGAGTGAGTCATTGAATCATTCATTCAATTTGTTTAAAAACACTTATTCTTTTGGAACAAAACCAGTGCTTGTTGTATTTATGAGCAAGTCATTGAATCATTCTCTCAAACAATTCGTTCAAAAAACACCATTCATTCAGGCACACCATTCCTTTGTGACTAAGCAACTGTGTTGTTGTTTTTAAACTATTTTCACTGATGTAGCAGAAAAAGTAACTGACAATGAAGGCCATTGCACACCGAGTCCGAAATTCGCATCGGAATTTTTTGCACGTTAAAAAAAAATTCGGCCTCACGTTATGTCAATCACGCTTGCACACTGCCTCCAAAACTTTCGTCCGTCATATAAAAGTTCAGATCGGGTTCGATTTTCTGCATTTTTTTCGCATCCACAGCCAGCATTTTGAGAGGTTTTTTGACAATTCAGGGAGCTCGTTAATGTTAATATATAGCCTGTAGCCTTTACAGCTGTTCTGTCTGCCCAGCGCTTCCACCGGGCAGCACGCGTGTGTGTCCATATAGGCTACCTTAGACATACTGCCAGTCTCTGTACAGAATCGATTGGTTCACAGAAATTGGTGGTCTTGTTTCACAGAAATATGTGGCTCCAGAATCGCAAGCAAAGCATCAAACTGTTCCACTGACATTCTGAAGTAAATTTTGAATCACTCGGGATAAATTCGCGACTCCTTAAGGAGGTGGATCTCTCCTTCCTCTCGGCACAGTTTCAGGATTGGATGGACCCAATATTTTCTCTTCCTTCTCTTTTTAAAAAGAGAGAGGGCAACAAAATCATCCTCACTGCTTGACGAATCCATTTTGTATTTTTGCGGTCTTTTCCGCAAAGGTTTAATAAATATGCATCGGACGTGACGAATTTTTAGGCTGACAAACAAAAAAACGCATACGAAAATTTCGTACTCAGTGTGCAATGGCCTTAAGTGTTTAGTTTCTAAATGTGTCTTGAATTGAAGAGTTTAGATGGAAAAGCCTCTTTGAAGTGCACTTTGAAATTTTCTTCTAGAATGATGATTTTTATCAAGCTTGTATATTTAAGTTCAGTAATTTCACTTAAATGACAATGAAGATTACCTATGAATTGTCATTTAAGTGAAATTACTGAACTTAAATATTCAAGCTTGATAAAAATGATCATTCTAGAAGAAAATTTCAAATGGCACTTACTTAGAGGCTTTTGCATCTGAACTCTCCAATCGTAAATATATTATTCTCTCTGTAGTCTGTAATTTACCACTCAAAACACACAGTGATTGGCCTAATGTATGTTAACTTTGAAAGAAAAAAATGAATGAGTGTTGTTTGGTTCACAGATTTGCCCCATGGAAACAAGTGTCACTGTTGAATGGATCGATGAGCAGATGGTGCCCTATGCAGTTCAAGGAAAGGCCTGGGTCGGATTTGACAACCGTGAAAGCTTCACTGCTAAGGTAAATCAACTACTGTTTTCCAGAATGTAATGCAATGAAATGTTTGACAAACTTCTGACAAACTTTCCTAAATATTTGCTTTAACAGGTACAGTATCTTAACTCCTTAAACTTGGGCGGAGCTTCAGTTTGGACCTTGGATTTGGATGATTTTGCTGGCCGTTTCTGCAACAGCGGAGCTTACCCTCTTGTCAACCATTTGCGCAACTCACTAGGTAAGAACTTTAGACTATAAAGACCATTACATTTATTCTGTCTTCTGTTATATGTTTTAATGTGATGCTGAATGTCTTTTCAAAGGTTTCTCACCCAAGCCCACCACTACACCACGTCCCACCACGACCGCTGACCCCATCGCCTCTTTCTGTGTTGGTAAACCAGATGGTCTGTACCCCAACCCTGCTGATGAGACCACTTACTTCCACTGTTTCCGTGGAAACACATACCTGCAGAAATGCCAGCCTGGACTGGTCTTCATTGACAACTGTAAATGTTGTGATTGGCCTTGAGTTTGAGTTCAGATCTGCTCTTCCTGTTCAATAAAACTGTCCTATTGTTGTAATGTACCTTTTCTTCCAACTATCCAATGCTCATGATTTAGGGGAAAGAAAAGCGTGCATAGCCGTTCAGAGTCATATTTTCCCTCAAATTTAAGAAATGTCCTGTTCAATATAGTCTAGTTTCCTCTTGTTGTTGTGCAGCAAAACAATGTCCCCATTTTTGCTTTCACTTTCAATAAAATATTTATAGCAATCTGACTTGTTAAGTCTTCCTTAAACTGATCATCTGAAACTAAAATAGTGACAGACCTTATGTATGAATAGCTTTATGAAAGTGTGAAGTTTCACAAATATGGCGTTTTATAGAGAGGACATGTATGAATGACTGAAGTGCCATCATTCATATTATGTGCATCATCCATCAAGGCAAGGCAAGTTTATCTATATAGCGCATATTCATACACAATGGTAATTCAAAGTGCCTTACATAGAGGAAATATAAATATTAAAAAGAAATAAGAGTAATTAAAACAGTTTAGAATAAAAATAGAATACAGTACAAAGAGTGCTCATTCAGTAAATGCACAGCTAAACAGAAGTGTTTTGAGTCTGGATTTGAATGTGACTGCAGTAGGAGCCCATCTGATCTCTTCTGGAAG